GGAGAGGGGGAGGGGGAAGGAGAGGGGGAGGGGGAAGGAGAGGGGGAAGGAGAGGGGGAGGGAGAGGGAGAGGGAGGGAGGACATGGGTAAGGGATATCCACAAACTCTGTGAACAAAATTAGATGAAAAACAAAGTAAATCAGGTGAAAAAATTTTCTGAATTTGAAAAGAGAAGAAAATGAAGTCTAATTTTGGCAGGTAGCATAGAGTGGCCCTCTTCTTGGGGACACAGTAAAGCAGCCGTGATCCTAACAGTAAGCAGGGGTGATGACTCAGCATTAGAGGGCACTTGCCACCAAGTCTGACAGCTTCAGCTGAATCCTTGGAACCCACGTGGTGGAAGCAGAGAACCAACTCTCACAAGTTGTCCTCTGGTCTCCACATGGCACAGGCACACCGGAACACATACATGCACACATGCACATATGTAAACACACATATATGCATGCATGAATGCAGGAACACATGTGCAAACACACACATACACATAAATACATGCTTTTAACAATACAACGCATAGACACAGCTCTGCAATAGGAGTTTTCACTCCTTGTCTTAGACAGACTCTTGAGGAGCCGTCTGGTTGGGGCCAAATATCAAGAGGGGTCAAGTGCAGACACAAGTGAGGTGCAGAGCAGAGGTTTTGTTTCTTTAAAATCTTAACGCAGGGGGAGTCAGACATTTGTCTACGCCCCATCTGTTACTTTAGAGAGGAACAGAGGGAAAGAGAATGACTTCAAGTTAGACCAACACTGGACTGCAGCAGACTGAAGTGAGAAAAGAAACATGGCCACCTTCTCCTCCTGGGTACCTCACAGCCCCACCCAGCCTCCTAGGAAGAGGGCCAGAGGGGCAGGTCCACAGTTCGAGCTGGGAGCTTGCCAAGTGGACTTCAGAGTTCTCAGGAAGCTGTGACTAGAGGGCATGTCAGTGTCCTGGGCCCATACTGAGCCACTTTACAGCCAGGTTGGGTGTGGCTTCGTCATCTTCTAATTCTGCCAGTAATCCAACTGGGCACTGAAGAAATGGGAGGTCATTCTGCACAAAGTGTCCAAATAATAATGCCCTCTCTGCAGGCTCTCTGGGAATCCACCTAAAATAGGGCAGTTTCCATGAGCTTCTGCCACAAGAAAAGCATTTGGAGCTGTAGAAAGGCATGCCACCAAGGCCCTCTGAGCTCCGTCCTGCCTGGGAAACTGGCCAAGTTATCTCATAATTCTAACCAGCATCCTGTGTGGGTCAAAGACAATGGCTCAAGAGTCAGTCTGAGGGCACAAGACTGGACAAGGTCTCCAAGGGCTGGCTTTACTGCAGACAGATCCCCCTGGAGGAGCATGTTACCTCTTAATCAGAATGGGAAGCTCCTGTTTGCAAGTAGGAGATAACAGGGGGTGGGGGAGGGCATTGCAGGCAGTAGCTCAGGGCAGCCAGCCAGTGTGTCATCCTCTCGGCAGATCCAATACAGAATGGTCAGTGAGGAGAAGGGGGAAACGGTGACTCCTGGGGTGCAGCTAGACTCTCATTGACCTGTTGGCCTGGCCTTGGGTTCATCTTTGATTTCCTAACAACTCAACTATGTTAAGCTCAAGGGCACTTGATGGCATCTGCTCCACTAGTCAGGAGGCAGAGGGAAGAACACAGTGCTAAATGAGCCTGCCCCCCCTCACCCCAGGACAACAGCCACATCAGTTTTAGCCAGTGCATTTTGCCTGATAACTTCAGGTCTCTACATGAACTTAACCCCAGCAGCTCTGCAGAAAGCATTCCCACCAGATGTTCTCAGAGGGATTGGGCACTTTGAAAACTGGGTAGGACTGGAATTAATTTTGCCCCTTGAAGACCAAGCAGGAGAAGTAGGTGAGACAGGTTTTCAACATAACTAGAGTTCTACATGGCCACAATGGTAAATGGTGGCTAAGAGTCACAGAGCCAAGAGTCACAGAGCACCTCAAACTGCCACAAAGTCCACAGTGGGACTGTGGTGAAGTCTGTCTGCATCCTTGCCCTTAGGCAGAAGCAGACGCACACCCTAGTCACTTCACCACATCCTCAGGATGCAACGATTCACACCTAGCAGGTCTGCACTCCTCCCTGATGAGCTGAGAACACGCAGGAGTAAGGTTCTGTAGCAGCTGCTTCTGCATCTGTGCTATTTAGTGGGAACCCACCAGCCATTCTGTAGGTGATGGCTGAGGAGGTGCTGCACCTACCTCAGTGTGGTACTCAAAGCCCAGGCAAGCTCAGATGGTTACCAAGTACTGTTTTGTTACCCAAAGGAACTTACACCCAGGGCAACATCTTTTTAACAGGCTACCCCCCCTTCTTTTGTTTTTTGTTTTGTTTTGTTTTGTTTTCTTAAAAAGGAAGGTTGAAAATCCTCTTCTCCAGCTTCCAGCAGACATCTAATGACACCATCACTTTTTCTCCCCCTAACTCAAGCTTTGGTTACAGTCTGGAGGCAGGTGACCCGGCTGTGGTCACATACAATCGAGGCTTAGCACTGTACACTGTAGATGGGACTCTGAGTGTAAAATTTGCTACACTCGGAGCTTACCAGACTGAGGAGATGGGGAGCAGCACAAGCTTTCTCTGTCTGTCTGTCTGCCTGTCTGTCTCTGAAGCCACTGATCCTGTCTCTGCCTCCCTCACAGAGCAGGAGTTAGAGGCACACACTGGCCACAGCTTACACAGCAAGTGCTCTAACCCACGGAGCAATCTCCCTAGCCCAATACAAATGGCAGACAGTCCCGAGATGTCTCCCCTGTCACCTGGCTCAGCCCTGCCTGCCGCTCACTGAAGTGGGTCTGCAGACTGAAAATCCTGACGAGAGGTACAAGCCACACAGGTGGTGGAGACGGCGTGACCAGACTTCTCAATTTGCTGTGTGTGTTAAATCACATCACACTGGCTCTGAGGTCTCAATCATGTGGTCAGAAGGATTAATCAGATCATGGGATGACATGCTAGGGTGGATGCGACACGCCACCAGCCTAGGCCCCTCAGGCTAATGCTTTGTGTAAACTCAACTGCTGTGCTGGATTGCTGGGGATACCACTTCAGAGGGAAGACTGGCCCATCCTTTCCTGAACCATAATCATGCCATGCACAATGACCGGGGACAAAAGGTATTTATCATATTTTCCTTAAGATGTCATGAGCCTCTTCCTTGTTTCTGAAAGGTTCTGAGTAAACGTTTTTCTGTAATTGCTGGTTATGGCAGTTCTTTTGTGTATACCACAAAGGAGAGAAATACACAGGAACAAAAATGCAAATTTTGTAGTGGGAAAAATAAACAACTTAAAAAAAACCCTGAAGCTAAGGGGGCTGTATTGAAAAACCTAATCATTTTTGTTTTGAGCTTTAAAAAACTTTATTACATTTATTTATGTTTTGGATAGGGAGGGGACTTATGTGCACTGTTTGTGTGTGTGTGTGTGTGTGTGTGTGTGTGTGTGTGTGTGTGTGTGTGGTGTATCAGGGGACAACCTGCAGGAATAGAACTGCTCTTTCTGCCATATGGGATCCAGGAATAAAGTGCAGGTTGTCAGGCTTGGCAGCCAAGGGACTTTAACCCGCTGAGCCACCTCACTAGCCTCCAGATAAAGCATTTAAAACATCTCACAAAGAAATTATAGAAGCTCCACACAGCAAAACTGTCATTTGAAGAGGGCAAGTGAAAGGATTTTAAGGCCGAGACTCTTCCAGAACAATCTGTCTGTTTACAGATGGAGTAGCTGAGGCTCGAATGGAGAGGGTGGCTCTCAATTTACAGAGCAGATGGAACAGGGCTGGCTTCAAAGGCCAACTCTAACCCAAGGTCCAGCAAGACACCAATCAGCACTAGAAAGACAAGAGGCAGGTCATTTGAAAACAAGTGGCCTCAAACTCATAATCCTCCTGTCTCAGCCTTCTGAGTGCTTGTTTTATAGGCTTACGCCATAGTACCCACCCACTTTAAGACCACCTTACAACCTTCAAAAGGCTGAAGCTCCAGGCATGTGTAAAATGACCACTGCACAGTCTGAGAAAGAACGTACGTGATATGAGGTCGAAACACTTCTTCTCCTCGGGATTGGTCTTCACCTGGCAGGTGAGCAGGTTGAGCTTGGCAGGTGGCCGGTTGGCCTGTTTAAAAACAAATGAAAAAAAAAAAAAAACCTGCAGGTCAGTGGGAAGGGAGAGATGGTCCTCAAGAGCAAGACCTCTTACTAGTTTACAGAGGATTTCCAGGGGCAGGACACACAGAGGAATGCTGGGAGGTGGGGAGGCAGCAGCTACCACGGCACATACAGTGCTCTATACAACCCATCTGACAGGGCTAGCACCAGGCCAGTGTAGAGGCTGGTGACAAAATGCTCTAGAGCTAAGAGACTGAGGCACAGGGCTCTGACACCCTCAGGTGACCTGGGCAAGCACCCAGCTTCATTTCATGAGCTTTTCAAAGAGTTTTTCCTAAGTGGAAACATTACTTCTAGGAAAAGTCATTCAGCACGTGCAAGTAAAAGGGAGAGAAGAGTGTCTGTGTGTCATTTGTTTGTTTTGACTAACTAAAATGAGAGCAGGCAGCGATTCACAATCCTAAATGCCAACTGCCACTGTCACTTGTTTTCACGGGACATATTCCACATACAAAAGATCACATCACATTTTATTAGTTTCAGTTAAAAAGGGGGGAGGGGGACCAGAGAATAGGGGACAGAAGAATAGGACAGCTTTTAAAAATACATATCCACTGTGTAAGAAGAGCCATCAGCATCCTGGTGAAGATAATTATAACTACTGTCTGCCCCAAAACTGGGGCAACCCATCAAAATTTGAAGAATTTTTATTATGCCTTTGGAGATCCAGCTGGAACTCTGGAACTCACTTGAAGCCACTTATAATGCCAGCAAGGAATCACCAGGCATGTCCAAAGGGATCACAGCCCTGTTGTTGATTTAAGTGGAGGGCCCCTCAGGGACCCCAAGAAAGCAGATATGCCTTGTGACACAGGAGTTCTAACCACAAGAAAGGAAACTTGGCTTTTCCTCTACAGTGATTTCTGCATCGAGGTAGTATACACCTGAGCTAACACAAACTAATGGACACTGTAAGAGTGAACCAGCGAGCATGAGACCTGTCAGGGAGACCTAGCCATCCTCCTGGCCTGACGTTCTGCATTTAAAGGATGCATACATAGTTAAACTTCCCTTTAGTCTGAGCAGTCACGCCCCCTCATTCCTGTGCATCTGCAGCATGGAGAGAACAGTCCATCAAGATCCTAACTGGAAGGCTCAGGAGTGAGGAGCAGTTTGGGTTATGGGAAGACGGATGACCTACACTCCGCCGAGTCAGTGCCCTGGGCAGAGCGGGCAGAGACCAGGTCAACGCTTGCTACGAATCAGTTCTACAGTCTTGCCCTTAATGGAATCATCAAAAGTGAAGGGGACAATCCGTCCCCAAACTCCCACAGCAACACCTTTGGTTCCATGACATCCTTCACATGAGGCTTTCTTTGTTACTCAAAAGTTAAGTTTCTTAGGACCCTATCTTAAGTGAAAACCTTTCTACTGGGTCCAAGAAACCCGTCTGTACTTCTGCTTAGTTATGTCTCTTAAGGGGACTGTAGGATGGAGAACAGAAGTCTGAGAGAAAGGCTCAGGTCATCGCTCACACTCATGGCCAATGTACGAATGCTGCATGAGACTGTATTATACATAACACACACACATTATATATTACACATTACACATCGGCATTCAACAGAGGGGTGACCAACTGGGCCTTGACAATCCTGAGCAGTGTCACTAGCCCCAGTCACACCAGGTGGAGGGAGTAAAGGACCGTGACAGTGTTCCTGATCTCTGAAAACTAAACTGGAAAGTGATTTGATTCTCACACAAGCCCATACAGGACTCTATTGTGTTGCATGAGCTTTTATAAACAGGGAGAAAGGGAGGAAAACTTGATTAAGTATATGAAATTTCTATAAGATATATATATAGAATTCCCTTTCCCTCTAGATCTGGTTCCTAAATCCTGATGACTAGAAAGATTATTCCTTTCTTTCCAGAGACAGCAGAAGTCTTTGTAAGTAAGAGGATGTTCAGAATAAAGTTAGCTGGGGTAGCAGGTTTAATGGTTTCTGGAAACCAAAGGTTACAAAAAAACAGTGGCTTGAGTGACCAGTTTGTCCTGGATTTGGTGATGTCATGGACAGTGACCAGGCTGCAGGTGACCAGAGGAGCACGTCCAGGGTGCAGGTGCCCCACACAGGCAAGGGCACAAGGCTCTTAATGGGGAAACATCTTCAGAATGTGTCTTCACTAGAGCAGTGCACACATAACAGATGTCAGCAACCACTCCCAACCGAAAGCGCCAGTTAAAAGGTACTCACAGTGCCGTGGGATATGGTGAGGAAGCCATTCTTAACAGAACACTTCCTCTTCTGCCACACTTTCCGGATCCTTAAGGAGAAGAGGGGAGATCAGACGAGTTTAGACCAGAACACAGGAGACAGAACACAGGAGATAAGTAGCGCATGCTCCGACTCAGCACCTAGCTGGTTGGCCACCTACCCATCGCTCTTCTTGTAGAGGTTCCCGTTCCGCTCTGTCCCGTGCTCCTTGTTCCCCTGAGGTTGATGTAAGCTGTATGCTGTACTCTGGCGAAGTTGTGAGTCCTGAAATGCGGTCAAGAAACTGCTTTTTAATATGTCTTGTTTAAGTCCCGTTTTTTTTTTTTTAAATATACTACTTAAAAAGAAACATATGCCTAAGTATTTTATTATTGTGATAAAACCTCCCCCCTCATCATTCACCAAAAAAAGAAAAAAGAAAAACAAAACAAAACAAAACACCCACCAAAGAACTCACAAAGGCCGTTCACCTTCTGTAGAAGGAAATGTCAAAACCCAGTATTTCTAGTGCTGGTGTCGGGGAGCTGGGAGTTAGAATATTGCCTCCCATGTGGCCGACCATGAATTCCATCCCAGCCTTTCCATCTCCCCCTGAACTATTAGTGCTTCTACACTGGCTTTAATGAGCTACCTCGGAAGTGCTGAATTGATATTTGGACCCAGGCAATGGCTAGGGGATCCTGTGGTGGTAAAGCCTTGAGAAGGAAGGTTCCGTGGTATATGCAGAAAGATCACTGCTTGCCACATGGGCAAAAAGAAAAAAGCTATTTGGTTTTTCTATCTCATTTCCTTTCTTGGACAACAGGAAAACACTCAATAAGACAGTAAATGTGCTAAGGATGGATATGGTCACATATGTAAACACCTGGTACATAACAGCACTGGTCAAATATTCCCCTGCTTGCCTTGTCAATTTCATGGTGTGTACATTCGTGTGTAGGAGGCGGGTGGTGCTGTTCCTAATTGCTCCAACACTGACCAAGTGTACCACGAGAACAGAGGCCATCCATGTGCTCAGCTGAGACTAACAGTGTACATCCACCCGATGACAAACTCTAGTACTTGAGTTTCTCAGAGCAAGAACCAGTGAGAATTCTCCAGAACCCAGGCCAGTGCCAGTTCTGACAGGTCCCCATTCCACACTGAGAGTGCAAAGAGCAACCAGCCAGTACTGAATTCCAGCAGACCTATGGGGAGTAAGTGGGAAGAGCCCACTAACAGCTTGAAACCAGGCTAGAGCTAAGACCTTTTCTGTTTATTATGGATTCTGTCAAACTGGTTCACTTCTCCCGAGGAATCAAGAGATGTGAAGATATTAAGAGGTTTGCTTAGGGGGCAGAGCCTCTCAAAGCCAGAGCGGAGTGTAGACCGGACGCTCAGGTCCAGTGCCACCCCTCCTTCCATCAAGCTACTTTGGAAGCTGCCAGACAACGAAGGTACTAACATATGACGATCGACATAATCTAAGCTCAGCGAAGAATTAAGAACACCTAAGAACTCAGGGACCAAAAGACCACGCTGCAGAGAAGAGCCTTGAAGAGTCTCTCAAAGGTTAAAACAAAACATAACAAAAAACAAACAAAACTATCCCAGGCAAGGGAGTTAGAAGACAGGAGACAAGAATGGGAGCTGAGGCCATGACTCAGGGAGGAAGAGACACGCACCGAGCCAGAGGCAGAAGAGTCAGCTTGCCGGGGTCATAGTACAGGCTTCAGTTTCAAGCAAGGGCAAGCTTCGTGGACCCTTCCCAGCTTGGAATATTCTTGTAATTTGTACTTTTGGGGTCATACATACAAGAAACCACCACCTAATTTAAGATCATGGAGGTTATAGCTATAAATAAATCTTTTGAGAGTTTTACAGCTCTCTTTGAGTTAATTTAAGGTTATGATGTGAGGTGGGTTTTCAGATTCCTTCCATTTCTGATAGGGACACAGATGTCTCAAGACCACTCTTTTCCCACAGCTCTGGCAACACTGGTGGAGTCTATTGACCATAAACTTTTGGTTTCTGACTGAACTCCATCCTGTCTCATACCTCTGTGCACCCATCCACATTCCAACCCACCACAGCGCTGCAGTTGTTACAGCTTTGCAGCCAGTTCTGAAGTCAGGGCGTGAGTTCTCCAACCTTGCTTTCTTTCATGATTGCTTTGGATATTCATATTCTCTCTCTCTCTCTCTCTCTCTCTCTCTCTCTCTCTCTCTCTCTCTTTTGGTTTTTCAAGACAGGGTTTCTCTGTGTAGTTCTGGCTGTCCTGGAACTCACTCTGTAGACCAGGCTGGCCTCGAACTCAGAAATCCGCCTGCCTCTGCCTCCCAAGTGCTGGGATTACAGGCGTGCGCCACCACCGCCCGGCTTTGCTTTAGATATTCTCAAGCCTTCTTCATTTCCATATAAATTTCAGAGTCAGCTTGTCAATTTCTGCAAAAAGGCAGCTGGGATTTTGATGCAGCGAGCACTGAACTGCTGGATGTATTTGGGGAGTGCTGTTTATGTGTAATACTGTTAAGTCTTCATGTGTTTATGTGTAATACTGTTAGGTCTTTATGTGTAATACTGTTAGGTCTTCATGTGTTTATGTGTAATACTGTTAAGTCTTGCTATACACCTAATACTGGATCCATGAATGCTGATGTCTAGGTGCTGACTTTATATTCCTCATAGGAGGTAGCCTCAGGCCTCACACTCTCCCTAAAGGACAGTACTTTAAGTCTCAGAATATCTAGGGCAAATCTATCTTTCTACACTGTAAGGAATAACACAGTGGAGGGGAAAGGAGAAATTCTGCCTTGCTCATGACTCTTTATGGAAGACTAAAATTAAGCCCATCAAAGACTCATTTGAGCTGGGTGTGCTAGACACCTGTAATGCTCACACTGGGGCAGGAAGGCGGGGCTAGGAGAGGAAAACTGATGCAGGTAGGACCTATGACCAGGGAGCCAAAGAGCCCATGAGTCCTGGGCCTATAATAGAAGGCAGGGCTTAAGCAAGAGTAGGAGGGGCTGGAGAGATGGCTCAGCAGTTAAGAGCACTGACTACTCTTCCAGAGGTTCTGAGTTCAATTCCCAGCAACCACACAGTGGCTCACAACCATCAATCTGTAATGGGATCCGATGCTCTCTTCTGGTGTGTCTGAAGACAGCGACAGTGCACTCACATACATAAAATAAATAAATAATTTTTAAAAAGAAGGGGAGTAGCAAGTTGTAGGGGAGAGAAGAGGCAAGCAGGGAGGACTGACGTGTAGCAGGATGTACTGGTGATGGACAACAGTGAAGTTGTCCATTATAGCTCAGACACTGAGGGTGAGTGCATGGTTCACTACTGTGTCTAGGGGCTCCAACAGCTGAAGAAATGAATTAGTCCCTGTCAGTAACAGGTCTCTGATGAAACCAATTTCCTCAGACCTCAAATCCTGCACAGCCTGACTCATCACAGTCTCTGTGCCCCAGTGGCTGCCCACCGAGCCATGCCTCATAAACTGCATCATTGCTTCCTGGGTTAGAGCCTCCTCAGACAAAAACAACTCTCCACCGCTCATTCCAGTGCTCTAGAGAGCAGCCGCCTCAATGACACACAGCCTGTCTCTTCTACTTACTGTGAGGCTGCGGTCTCAAATCACAAGACTTGCACTTTCTGGACTAGGACAAGATCACCATGCTGTGAGCAACCTCTAGCAAAGCAGCAGTATGGAGAAGGTGCTCAGAGGCAGTCCTGCTGAGAAAGGGCTCAGGATGGATGAGAGGGCTTACAGAATTCAGCCCTGCATGGAGGGCTAGGGGGTGAGCAGCTCCATTCTCAGGAAAGCATGGCCGTATAAGTCTAATCTAAACTTGGGAATTTTCCATTACCCTTGTCTTATGCATCCAAATTCTACCATCTTTACAGTAAAATCATCTACCACAGTGAAAGGAGAGTCATTGAGAGCTGAAATGAACCAGCCATTAAGATGTAAGAGGAAGAAATAGCTTTGACCAAAACATGCAATACTCTACAATTTGTGAAAATACTGGGTACTTACTCTCCTAGACTTCGGTCACAAAAGGTAAATGCATTTAGGAGAAAAACAACAAGATTCAGTTACAGTCTAAGCACTATGCTTTGTTAAGTAGTGACTTAAATTTACTGAAAGGGAAGAGGATTTACATTAAATTCTCATTACATCCCAGTACTCAGAGGTTGAGGCAGGAGGATCATTTGAGCCTATGAGTTCAGGGCTAACCTCAACAGTGGACTAGAGACAAAGTTATTCATTATAATACCAAAGCCGCATTGTCATCACTTGGTGATGGGACACAAAGATGTCACCACACCAAAGGAATGATGGCGAAGGACCACAGATGGCTGGCTGCTAAGTGGAGCCGTGCGTGCACATGCATGTGCCTGTGTGTGTGTGTGTGTGTGTGTGTGTGTGTTTGTGTGTGTGTGTGTGTGTGTGTGTGTGCATCTATTTGAGTGGCCATGCAAGTGCCAGGGCAGGTGTCTCCAGGAGTTGGTTCTCTCCCTCCACCGCAGCATCTGGGAGCAGAATTCTGGTACTAGGTTTGTGCACCGAGTGCTTTCGCCCTCTGAGCCATCATCCCGACTCTCATCTTTTATTCCTGACTTCTCATCTTTTATTTTTTATCTTTATACAAGACATCATTATATAGTTCACTCTGGCCTGGAATTCACTATGCAACACCAGCTGGCCTCAAACTCATGGTGGTCCTCCTGCCTCAGCCTTCCAAGTGCCACTACACCCAGCCTAACTCTTCACAGATAGAACACTCGGGCTTTTAAGGGAATCTGTCTGTCTCTACTCCATAGACCAGAGAAAGTTTACACGGGAGAGTTCACACACGGTAAAGTTCACATGGTGGGGGGAGTTCACACACAGCACAACAGGGAAATCACAGAGTCTAGGGATAGAACTTAGGGTACACATGAGATAAACGGAACTACCAGAAACTGACAGAGCAAGAAAGCATCACTCCTGGCCCCTCAGGCCCACGGTATTGCCGCTCCTAGAAGTAACTATCTTAAGACAGACATCCGTGTAAAACTAAAATTTTAAAAAGCAAAAGACATTTCAGGGCTGCTAGACATGGTCCTGTGGTAGATACAGATGCCATACTCCTCAGCCCCAAACCTCTAAGGCATTGGCAGCAGCAGTGGGGGAGGGGATCGACGGACTGTGAGCCTTCAATCTTAAATCCCCTCACCTCTTTCTGTTCCACCTGCAACGCTGATTTCAAAATATCTCGAAGGTGTATCAGCTGTCGTCGTTCCTCATCCTGGGCCTGTTTGATCTTTAAAAAGCAAGCAGAGCAGAGCAAAGTAAAACCGGGGTGCACCTTAGATGTTGCATATCATGGTGTTGCCACACAGGAGCCCTCGGGAGGGTGACCGTTCACATCGTCCCTCAGCACTGTTCCAGAGGCACCAGTCGTTTCCAGACAGCACAGGGTGCAAGCACAAGGTTACCGAACTGGGCCTGAATGTGCTACCAGCTGAAAGGGGAGTTGAATAGCACGGAGTCGCCTACTCACGGTGTGGAGGTCCGTGGAGAGCGTCTCAATGGAAGGCTTGAGGCTTTCTACTGCTTTCAATCCATCCTGGAAAAAACTGGGGGAGAGAAAAAGCAGAGACTGCACATCACAAGGGAGAAGAAGGCTGTTAGAGACAAGACTGTCTAAGTGAAGGTGGCTGGACAGGATGTGATTCCTGGAGGAATAGAAGCAATCCAGTAAAAGCCAGAATAAAACGACAAAATTGTAAATGAACAGAAAATGAATTATATGCCTGAGCATTTTGACTTTTTTTTTTTTTTGACCCATATAACAGCAGACCTGATTTTCCAGTTAGTAAATGGAAACTAGACTCTCCTGACAGTGGAAGTGAGGGCTTTGAAGCCAAAAAAATATGAGGTACAGACAAGAACGTGTACTAGAGAATTCCCCAACAGAAAACTGTTAAATGGGAGAGAGCACAAGTGAGAAACCAGGCAACTTTGACACACATGAATGACCGGGTTCCATCCGCACAGCGGAAAAGCATGGTGGGTTTTAAAGGCTAGAAAGCAAAAGGAATCTCCTAAGATAGGGCCTGATGGCTGTCAGGTCACTCAAGACAAAGTATTTGGGAAATGTTGCAAAGTTGCTGGTCTTCAGGACAGCCCCGAAGAATGTGATTAATCTTACACCAACCTGACTGGATTTAGGACCTAAGAGACTCACATCTGGGTTGGTGTGCAAGGGCATTTCCAGAGAGGAAACAAGAAAGACCAATGTGAATATTGGGTACACCACACCATCCCATGAGCTGGGGTCCCAGACTGAATAAAAAAGGGGGCACCAAGCCAAACGCCAGCACTCCTATCCCTGCTTTGTGATATGATGTGACCAGTGATCTCACCTGATGCCATGACCTTCCTTTGGTAGACTACACCTACACACACAGTAAGCCTCCCTCCTTAACTTCTCTTCCTTACCATGCTTTTATAGGCTATTTTACCACAAGAAAGGTAAGTTAGACAACCTGCTGGGCTCGGGGAAATTCAGTTGTTTGGTAAGCCTGACAGCCAGAACTCAATCATTCCTGGGAGACATACACAGAAAGCCAGATGTGGTGTGCACTCTAATCCCAGCACTCCCGTGGTAAGAACAGAAGACAGGGCGGTGGTGGTGCACGCCTTTAATCCCAGCACTTGGGAGGCAGAGGCAGGCGGATTTCTGAGTTCGAGGCCAGCCTGGTCTACAGAGTGAGTTCCAGGACAGCCAGGACTACACAGAGAAACCCTGTCTTGAAACAAACAAACAAACAAACAAACAAACAAACAAAAGAACAGAAGACAGGAGAATTGGTCAGGAACACACATAGCGGCAGGAAAAGAGAGACTAACGGAAGGAGAGGACAGGTTCCCACAGTGGTCTTCTGACCTCAGGGTCACCCCATGACATGCATGCCCACATTACCCACACACACACAAATTCAAAAATAAATGATCAAAATCTGGGCTGAGAAGAAAATGACCTGGGTTTCACATATAATATTCACATAGGTGATTTTTCCTTTTTCCTTTTAAATTCACCAGTGGCCCTATTAGATTCTTTCATACTGTGTGCCACAAAACAAAATAGTCATGAAAAAAAACACACTGTAGCCTGTAACTCGACTTAGTGATGGGACATACACATACACGCATACACATATATATATCCACACACATGCATATACATACAGGCATACACAAACACATGCACATACACATTTGCACACATCTGCACACACACATTTGCATACGCATGCATACACACCTGTATATAGACACATGCACACACACACAAGCATGCACACACACATGCATATACACACATGTACACACACACACATACACACATACATGCATGGACAACACACATACACACTTAGAGTGAACTATGGACACATTGACACAAGGCTGCTAGTGCTCTTACCTCACTCCTTAGACATGTACACGGATACTGTACATTCCTGGTTTATCTGGTATTTCTTTTCTGAACAGACTTTGCTTCTGAATTAGCAATTCCATCCCTGTGTAAGTGTGTGATTTGTCCAGGTGTTTGTGGCCAGAGTAAGGGCAGAATAGCTGGGTCCCTGCCTTTCTGGGCCCCCTAAATTGACACAGAAATCTTGAAGGACTGTGGGGTTACAGGAACCAGAAACTGGGTTTGCTTCCACTGTGAACTATGTGATCCCTGTGGTTTAGTTAAAGAATTTTTTTTATGTAATGATTTTCTTAGCACCTCCAAATTCTGGTAATGTAGCTAGGTTAAAAGAGAGAAAGAGACATAGAATGCAGATACAGGAAAAGCAGAAAGTACGACAGACAGCACACGAAGGCAGTGGTCCCTGGGGAGGGAACAGGTGCACAGCACTAGGCACCTCTGGAGCTTGGCAACTCTCCCTGAGGTAGCTGGAGACAGCAAGCACGTAACCAAGGGCTTGGGGACCTGGCTCTCACACATACACATGTTTCCTGAAGAACGCACTCAGAAGAGTGATAAAAAGCTCCAGCTAAAAACATAGATCGCGCATCTTCGAAAGCCTCAATAAATCTACCCATGAAGCCCATGCTCACCCCTTTCAAAGCGCCCAGCTGTCAGTGCACTCCTTGTGGAGGATGCCAGGCCTGGCCAGCAGCTTCAAAGTACAGGAGCTCAAGGGCTGGCTGCTTCAGTGACCTCTGTGTCACCAGGACACTCACAGGTGCATGCCCCTTCGAATCTTCCCCCAAAGCCTATTAGCATTTTTCCCAGTCAAGCATTTTCCTCCTGTTGAAGAGCTTTTATCATCAGTGCTATCAAGTCAGACTTTGTTCCCTGGCCTGGCAGACACCTTCTAGCCGGTTCAACCAGCCTTTCAAGCCCTGGAAATAGAACTATTTAGATGCAATCTTTGGCCCTCTCATGGACCTTATATACTGTACATCAAGTCTTTCACGCTTACATTACCACCACACCAGACGGGTACCTCATCTGTTGAGGATCTGCCTGTAGTACCCACCCTTTCCTGGCATGAAAGTAAACCCCTCCGGAGTTCCGGTTCCCAAGCCTCATCAACCCAATATATCTCAAATCACCATATACAGCTGGCCATGATGGCGCTGAGCGGTATGTACCCAAAGCACAAGGCAATTTAACGCACCCTTCCACCTGAGAGTGACCGCCGTTTTAGTTACTGTTTCAAAGGCTGCCCTACTTCTAGAGTCTATTACAAAACAGCATCCCACCCCTTCAGCTGATCCAGGGATGCAAGTGCTATCTTTACACAAAATAAGCCACGATGTATTATTCTTCAAGATACTTCAAAAAGCTTGCCACACAATGTAACAAGTAAAAATGAATTTGAGAAGCGAAATTAAGTAAGGTTGTCCTAATAGCCGGATACTACACAGAGGCTTCTCACACTCACAGAAGGCGGCTGTGGTGAGGAGGCTGTGAGGCTAGGGACCTGGATACCTGAGGGGGAGTGTGAAGGACTTTACCACATGCAGAACGCACATGTGATCTGAGGTCTATAGGATCTGAGAGCCAAGCCTCTTGGGCTGAGTTTTATCTCCCCAAGTATGAACTAGCCAATGTGAGGACGCAGCCCCCACACACGCCCATACACTAGCACTCATCCCAGGAGGAAGCAGGAAGATTCATATTTTAGAAGGTTATTGAGCTTGTGGCCATAAAAGGCCAAGTAATTCACTTTCCACAAGTGGCCTGTTGCTACCCAACTGATAGTTTGTGCAAAATAAAGAAGAAAAAGGAAATCTGAGAATAACTTCTTCCTAAAAATAAAAACTCAGCAAGGAAGCGACCCACTTCCTACATAGCCTGGCGGCCGGGTTACGGGGAGGACAGAACAGCCGATGTGCTCAACAGTCATTGAGTTGGTCAGGGAAACCACCTTAAAAATTCTAGAAATTCCAGGTCCTCTTGACTCTGGGCCAATCTTTCCCAGCACAAGCTCACCCTGATCATAATTGCAGGGAGGCGATGTCACCCAGCCACACTACGTCACCACAGCCATACAGGGGTGAGCACACAGCCCTGCTGCACGTATGTGGCTGGTCCATGTAGCACCCGTGGACATGGGAATGAATGAAGAGCCATCTGGGAGGCACACAGAGGATTGCTATAGAGGCAAGAGCCCATCCGGGCTGCTGCCAGGACTGAGTCCCAGGAGAAAACAGGGGACTTTGCTGACATTCTAGGAAAGGGGTGAGCAGTGACGCCAGCCCCAGGCAAAGCCCACTCAGGGAGAGGTAAGCAAACGGGTGTGGCACTTGAGACTTCCCACTCTCCACTCCAGCTGTGACCAGTCCAGCCAGGCTACTTCATCTCAGCCTATTCTATGGCAGTCCACTGTCTTTTTAAATGTATAGTTTATCCTTATGTGTACATGTGTGTACCTGAGTGCATGTATGTATATCCTATGCCTGCAGGAGTCTTCAGAGGTCAGAAAAGTTGGATCCCTGACACCGGAGTTATAGATGTTTGCGAGCTGTTACATAGGCACTAGGAATCCAGCCTGAATCCTCTGGGAGAGCAGCCAGCGCCCTTAGCAGCATCTCTCCAGTCTTCAGAACACTTTGGCAAACATTCAATGCCTAAGTCCATCTCCCCAACCACATCCCTTTAACTCAGCACCTTTCATAAAGCCTGACATAGCACAAACTCCATCAAAGACGCCTGGGCCGGTGAGTAAAGGAGCCATGGGTGTATACTTACACCAGTGCTCGGGGCCTGGGACAGAAACAGAACCATGCAGAGGCTGACCTCCAGAGAGCAAAGCTGAGAATCTACAACATGAAGTATTTCTTTTTTTCCTACTGACTTTCTAGATCCAGCAGTAAATGAAATTACTATCTTAATATAATACATCAAATTAACACCAATTCCCTACTCTTTCAAAAACAACAAAAACCTCTGAGATCATGTGTCAGATCAAGCAAGTCAGCAAGAAAAAAATATATGACAATATATCAATTTTTAAATATTTGTATATATACTTAAATATTTGTATATATACAGAATACTGACAGGGCTGAGCAACCAGCACGATTCCAAGATGTTTCTGTTACCTCCGAAGGCAAGTCCGCACCCATGAACAGTCAGATTCCATCTCTTCCTTGTCTATGGTAACTGCTAAGCTGCTTTCTGTCTATAAATATGCTTTAACCCATGACTTGGCAAATGCAGTCATGCAATGTGGTCTTGTGTCTCTGGCTTCCATCCCTCTACAAGGTCAAGGTTCATCTGTGTTGTATCCTGAGCACTTATTTCCTTCCATGGTCATCATTCATTCATTCATAGGGTTTCATGTAGCCCAGGCTAGTCGCTATATAGCCAAGGATGACCTTAAAATTCTGCCACTTCTGCCTCTACCTCTAAAGAGCACCTGGACTATGGGTGTGTGCCATCACATTGGTTTATGTAGTGTGGGAATTAAACCCAAGACACCACCCTGCCCCCACCATACCCACCCCCCCCAACTCCTACATGCTAGGCAAACACTGTACAAACACAGCTATGTCACTAGCCCCAGCTCATGATAATTTCTTCCTTTCCTTCTCTTTTCTTTGCAGTTCTGGGGGTTGAGCCTGGGCCCTCACACATGCTAGGCCAAGAGTGATCTAACACTGAGCTATGTCCTCAGCCGTGCCATGGTCATTTCCAGGTGAATGTTTATTCCCTCAGGGCAATGCTATCCATCGGAAGCTGCTATCCGTGGAGCAACATTCGAAAAGACGCCATAAAGAAGGGACACTTACTTGCACTGGGCATGGAAGTACTTGATCAGATTCTGAAGCAAATCCACTCCCTTCTTAACCTTGATTTCATTGACCTTCAGCAGGTACTGTGGAGAAGGAAGGAAAGGATGCTGAGAGAAGAGCAAGCAGGAGCTTAACGTGAGCTTCTGAAGATACTGGGGACGTCTTTTGAACCAGGGACTCCAGTAGCCTGGGCTAGCCTTGAACTCCTTGTCATACAGTCAAGGAGGGCCTTGCCTTTTTCATCCTCTCGCTTCTGCCTCCCAAGTGCTGGGATACAAGTGTGCAGTACCACATCTTGTCTTATCTGTAAGGCTGGAGACTGACCCCAGGGATTCGTGGATAGCAGACCAAGCTACCAACCGAGCAACACCCCCTGTGACTCTCTCTTGACTTCTTTAACAGCTTGTAGACTGGGCGGGGCAAGTGGTAGACAGATGCTGAGTACCTTCTGCATGTATGTCTCAATGGTTATGACAGCCAGGCAATTCAGTGTTTAAGGACCGTGTCTCCTAACTAGATATTCTACCACTTCCAGCCAGGATAAGCTTACTCTGGTTGCACGGAAGGAGGATGTCTGGAACAAATGGGCATTTCTAACTAGCCTGGATCTTCCTACGCACACTCACACTCCTCTTCCCAGATCCTTTCCGTTTCCTTTGAGACACTGTCTTTCTACGTAGTCCTGGCTGTCCTGAGACCAATGGCATGTGCCACCTCAGCCAGTCTCAAATTCCTCTCTTTGTCGAGTCGCTGTCTTCAATACTAACTGCTACAATCCAGTAGCTGAGACTTCATGACCATGTTGCTGACCCAAAGCACTTTCCATAAATATTATTGCTAAAAAGGGGAATTTTAAATTAAGTTGCATTAAAGCCAGTTCTAACCTGGAGGATCTACCAAGGGCCAATTAGCAGGCATTATGAAATGCACCTGTCCCTCTCTCCTATAAGTATACAGAACAAGGGCTCTATAACCCCCTCTGCTCTCACTGTGAGGCTGTGGTATAAGAATTCTGAGCATACCTTATTTTCAAGACAGGATGGCCCAGGAAAACCTGCCAACCTGAGCTGGGCCCTATGAGTTCCCAGCTGTCTCTCAGGATTAGGCCAAGTCCAGGAACTCTCCAGGCCAGCTGTGCAAGCCAGGGAGGGGACAGGAAGCCATTCTGAAACCATAACAACCAATTTTCTCCTCTCTGTAAGAACTGCCTATGTGTTCTCTTCTCCTTCCTTTTTGATAGTTATTTGCTGTTAATTGGATGTCTGGCCATGGGCCAAAATGATACAATCGTTAAATAAAATGCTTGGCAATGAATCAAGACTTAAAATGTGGACGCTCTTTGACCCAGAAATTCTACTTACCGGAACTTATTCTAAGAGACAATCAGAAATGCGTACAGAGATGAATAGGAAGGAGAGTTTACAATTTTTTTTTTAATAGTGTCCAATTTAAAAGGGTGTAACAAGTGGCACTGGGCTGGGATTTCACTGATGTAGAGCCCAGGGAGAGACGGGGCCATTCTCATTCATAGTGAGGCACAGAAATACAAAGGCCTTCATGCTCAGTGGTCTGTGATCTTGATAAAGACCGCTGGGGTCAGTTCCCCTTCTGCCCTTTTCTAAGACACAGGCCACAGGAAGCAAGAACCTGAGGGCAGGTGATGTCTGGGAACTGGATGCTAAGGACTCAGTTCATGGGCTGCATGAATGTTTGCTGACTGAATCTTCACTCTTCCTCTCGTTCACTAACTCCACAGGTGCACGAGCAAGTCTTAAAAGCATCAAAGAAGGAAGTATTCTAGCCAACTCCTTTGAGAAAGTATGGGAGGCCAGGGAGGACATTCTTCATGTCCTCTCTTCTACTTAACCCCCCCCCCCAAAAAAAAACCCAAAAAACCAAAAAATGGAAAGAAGATTCTCATCTATCTGTGTCTATGTGTACATGCACACGTGCACACAAGCACACACATTCACACATGCAGGTCTATCTGAAGGCCTGAAGAGGGTGTCAGATCCCTTGGAGCTAGGATTACAGGTGTTTTTGGCAGCCTGACTTAGATGCAGAGATGCACCATCAGGTCCTCAGGGCTGGGTAGAAGGTGTTCTTAACTTCTGAGTTCCCCTTTAATAAAGGTTGGTGTTAGACGGACCTAAACCCACACACCTGTAAGTAGTCTACCATTCCTTTAACAAAGCAAACCTTTAGTACAGAAATGCAGCCCAGTACCCAAGCGGGTACTGTCACCAGAGCCACGGGGTCAGTGGAGAGGAGGCGTGCACATGTGGTGGGTCCTGTACTTGAGTGGCTTTTCTCTCACAGCCTCTTACCTCACACATCTGCAGCTGGAAGAACCGTCTTTCCTTCTCCATCTCCTCTGCAATCTCAGCCCCGCTTATTTCGGTACGAATCATCCCGTGGAGCTTGGCATGTTCCTTTTTCTCCTTTTCTATTTTGGTTCTATGTGTGAAGACGAAGCAGGCATTAATCGAGAGGCCTTTCAGCACAGCACTCCCTACTGGACAGCCTCAGAGTCACCTGCTGAGACAAACGCTCGCCACACTCTTTTGAGCAGGCAACCTCTTAACTCTTACAGAAAGCAAACCACCTCTTGTCTCATAAAAACAGATCGGACGTGGCTTCCTGCTACTACTGAACAGATCCTCCCTAAGCACATATTAGGTCTGATCCATGTCTGATGGAAGATCCACATACACCTAGCCCTGGATTGCCAGCCTCTCTCTGGACCTCCACTAGCACCCTGCCTGCCCCATTTAGTAAAGTCACATGCTACACGGCTTCCACAATACTTCTCTCTATAGCATCATGCTGGTCATCTGTCCTCCAGATCCTTTTCATGGTGACTTCATGCTGAACTACGTTACTAAATGTCATGTGTACAGTTTGGGTATAAACTGACCAGCACAGCACACACCAGAACTACCACCAAGAGGAAGGGAGTCACAGAGTCATATCAGCCATAGAGAGCTCTAGATCTAAAGTCCACGGAGGCACTGAGTGCCGAGCCTTGGGTGACACACAGAGACGTAGCTGGCATTTTCTTTAAAAGTTGTTTGATGATTAACAGACTACTTGAGGGTTTCCTGTCACAGGAGGTAGTGTGTGTGTGTGTGTGTGTGTGTGTGTGTGTGTGTGTGTGTAAGAGGCAGGAACGTCAGTCCTTGCTCATTTATCTGAGTACACAAGGTAAACCCAATAAGCTGAAGGAGAAAAGAACATGAGGGACTAAGAGGTCATTTGGCAGGAACACTGTTCAGTGAATTTAAGCACCTTACTGGAGCTGTGGCCACTAAGCCTCTGGACTCCTTATACCATTCTATGGTCCTGGCCATGTATCTAAATATTCAGTCCAGAGCTACGGCTGAGAATCCTGAAGACATCTTAAACCTAGTTACTACACGTGGCAAGGCCTCTTGGGATAGAGGAACCACTCATGTTCGTGGGTTTAAAAAAAAATCTTTTTAACATATCCTCGGGTCGCTTTGAGTTTAAAAGGCTCTGCCCCTTCCACACCAGACTCTGAACCTCTGAAGGTGATTCTGTCCTGTGCTGTGCAGGCAACACTTCATCTTAGAGAGTGTGACACCTTCTCTCCCCAGTCTATCTCTTCATAGCCAGAGGCCTCTCTCCCACAGCATTCTCTAAGCCAGCTCTTGGGGAAAGGAAGCAGGCACAGGTAAAAAAGTTGGTCAAGGTCAATACCACTCCTGGCCCTAGCTTGAGACCGTCTTGCTGGGTACATAAGTGGCAGCACTCAGCAAGGCCCATCCCTGCTGATATCACAGAACCTATCACAGTTAAATCAGGCTGAGTGGGCAGGGCCACTGGTTGGGAGTCTCCTTGGGTCAGTGAAACTCCAGACCTGAAATCCAGGCAATTTCCACACAGGGTGTACCATTTCTACAGGTGGAATGAATGCCAAGAGGTGGCATTTCCACAGGTAGATTTGAGCTTTGTGATACTTCACTAACGGAAGAAAACCCCGGGGCAGCTTAAAAACAAAACAGCCCAGTTGAAATACTTACAGTCACATCTGAAGTGATTTTTCCCTTTTCTAACCCTCTTCACTACACCAGATGGTCTCACATGAAAGCTCCTTTCCATTCAGAAACACCTCCAGTCCCAGAGAGATTACAAGGAAGCATGAGGCATTTAAAAGAATTGAGTTCTCCAGCATTTAAATAATTGAAAGCCTTAAGCCGCCCCCCCTCCACCTTTCGTCCCTTCGTCCCAGCTTTTTCTAGCTGGCTGATTCTTCTCGTCTTTGGCATGAGAACTGTTAAGTATGGCTCTAACTGCCCTTGCCTATAGCTGTCCAGGAGTGGCCTGGTGGTTCAGGTCTCAGAGTCACAGAGCCCCAACCACTACATCCCTCCCTAGCAACAAAGATACCAGGTAAAGCTGAAACACAAGGGGCTTGAAATCCTAAAAACAAGAGAGCTGGTATTTCAGAGAAATAGGAACCCAGAGCTAAGAGCACACTTAAGACACAAACCAAAACAAACAAGCAAACAGAGCAACTTAGTGTGTGGCGGTGGGCCTGTGTATGTGTAACGGAGGGTGTTTTTGTATCCTGGCAGGCACGTGGAAGTCAGAGGACAACCTCAGGTGTCAGTTGCTTTTTGACTTGACTGAGACAGAGTCTCTCATTTGCCACTGTGTAACGATGGGCCACACATCTTCCCACAAACTTCCAGGATTCTCCTGTGTCCGCCTCCCATCTCACTCCAGAACGCTGGGATTACAGACACGCAGTACTGCATCTGGCTTTTCATGTGGGTTCTGGAGATTCAAAGTTGGGTCTTCACACTTACATGGCCCGTGGCTTACCCACTGAGCCCTCTCTGAGCTCCCGAGGTTTGTTTAATGAATCACCAGGAAGACATAGTGTGAGATACTGTCCTATAACCACCATGACACCACAGAGCTTGCTAGCAGAAGCCATCGTTTCCGAATGCAGACAACAGAAACCCATCTGCCAGTATGAGCCAGGGCAATGCAGCTTTAGGCAAATTCGTACCTGGATTAGGTCTACTCAGTAAGTCCTTTCGAGCAACAAAAACATGATTTAAGACTGAAATCTCCAATTACCTACATATACCTCCAAAAAAGTAAAATAAAAATAAAAGCACTCACATTTTTGTTTCATAGTCCTTCCAAGCTTTATCGAAGGGCTTTTTCAGATCCTGTAAACAGAGGGCAGTGAGTAAGTTTAATTAATCATTAACTTCTGTGCAAGTCAAACATCCTTATTCCTAGACTGGCTCTGCACAGAACTAGCCTGAAAGAAATCACGCATGAGATCCTATAAAAATAATAAGGACCAGGTGCCTTTGATACACTGTGAGTAGGGTGGCCAGACTGCTCTCGCCTGCTTTCTCATGCTTTCTCTGTTTCAAGTACATGTTATTTTAAACACACAACACACACACAAAAGCAGCCTCTACAACATGCGCATCACCCGTCTTCACTTCCAACCCTGTCCCACTCTCCCCGTTTCCCTGGATTTTTCTTCTGCACTTGGAACTGAAGAGTTATGATCTTTAATAAGGCTTGGCTCTAAAAAAAAAAAATTACTGAGGCTTTCAGGTCTATCAAAAGATTCCCACACGGGTCTGTTCTCTTCAACAAGATTTTTTTCTGTGTTTAGTCTTCAAGTCTTCCCCCAGCCACGGAAGGTTTTTTTGTGAAACTGTCCTCCTGCTCCTGACAGCCTGGCACATAGTACGGCTCCATACTTCCACTGTGGGATCTGTCTTTCCTCTGTGGAAGGCAACCTCATACCCCTTAGTTTTTGCTTTTGTTTTTCTCCTGGTAACTCAGAAGGCCTCATTTCTGGGTCTCCACAGGGAAAACAAGTAATGCCTCTTGTGGTCCTAAACGTTTCCTCCTTGTGCACTCTGCAAGAGACACAGCAGGAGGTCCAGGCAGAGGTCCTCAAGATGGGGCAGACAGGCTTCCAGATATACCAGACACCCAAAAATCACAAGCACATAAAAGGCTTGGATCTCTCAAAGACTCAGCCAAACAGCTCTCTGGCCCCAAGGACTAATAATAATCCCAGCTTTCACTAAATACTACAAGGCCTCAGTGGTATAAGTGTCCAGGGCTGTCCAAACAGCCAGCATCCTCTGAAGGACAAATACGTAGTTAGCTCATGCTTATGACACTTTCTGTCCTCACTAGGATCCTTTCCTCGAAGTAAATCAGCAACACAGCATCTAGGAAACCACATCCCACTGCCTGTCCCTGCTCCTGTCACCCTGGGGGAACCTCGATCGGCTCATTTCCTGTCTCTGCGTTCTCCCTTTACCAAGCCTGCAGCGCCCGCAACAGAGCAACCCAATGGCCGAGAGGCACTGCTGTTCCCACAGAAGGTGGCATCAAAATGTCACATTAAAAGAAACAAAGCAGATGCCATCCCTGTGGCCTCAAGTGTTGGGTGGGGTTGACGGTTGACAGCACTGTGACTCCCATGACCTCAGAGCGCCAGGACTTGGCTCCTCCTACCCCTTTCACTCCTTTCAGATCTCCTTTCAGCAAACTGTCCAAAGGGAACGAGATGATGTTGTTCATATTCTGAATCTAAAGAGGAAGAGAAAACAGAAAAGATAGTCAACTTCCTTCTAATCCAAAGCAAAGGTAGTGAGGGGGTTGGAAGGGACACTGATATAATTCACTACACCTGGCCAGCACAGCATGGTGGCCTTACTCACCCACGAACATTTTGTTTCAGAAGTGAGCACATAGTTAACGAAAGACCCAGATCTGTGTGCTTCCACAGTAAGAACCTTCCGTTTTTCAGTTGTGGGAAATTATTTTAAAGAAACCATCAATCAATAAGAGAATCAATCAGTCAGAAGCATGGAAGAAAAGGGCACAACGACCTACCTCCTACCACCACTGCTGTGGTGTGGGGCAAGTGGAACCCTGTTACCAGACAAAAACTGGAAAGGGGGCAGATTAAGGAACCCCTGCAATTTTCATAATTAACAACAGTAGGCGTTTGTGTTTGCTCCTGCCCAGGTTCCTGTCCTGGAGCACATGACCACAACATCCCACATGAAGACTGTCGTCACTTAGCATAGAGCCCAGAATTCTCCATGCTAATGAGGTATACAGATGGGCCGCACCGAAGGTTTAGCCAATAATCTTCCCTTCCTGGATATTCCTTCCTGCAAAAGGTATTTAATCTCTGGTCCACCCTGAGTAAGTTGTATGCACCATCTTCATCATGAATAAAGAGTTTGGACACGCAAGGACTGAATCTCCCATCAGGAACCAGTGAGGGAAAGCCTTCGGTATTGAGCCAGGCTGCCTATGTCTCCTGCCAAAGGCCCCTTCGATTGATCCCCCTGCACCCCTTCCCATCATTTGCCTAAGGGCCTCCATTCCCACTCACCCTCTGTAGGAGGAGCTAAGGTGGGAGGAGTAAGGAGAGGAAGAGGAGGAGTTGGGAGAGGAAGAGAAAAAAGGAAGAGGAGGAGCTAGAGAGGGCAGAGATGTAGGAGGATGGAGAACCACACAGATATGGAGAGCACTCATGGGGAACAACTTATAAACTTATAATTAGGTTAGCTAATTGGGATACAACTTTCTTTGTATGGGCATCTTGTTATTAATCATTATCAAACATATAAAGCCTTTGATTAATCTATAAGAATTAGAGTCTCATTCTCTTACTGGGCCCACATGGATGGCCGAATGGTCTGGGCAATGCCCTGCCTTGTGGAGACAGTGTGGAAGATTGGCAGAGCCATCTCTCATGTTGGCATCTAGTGGGTGGCAGGGCTGGTGTTTCTGGTGGGCCGGTTCTAGCTGCAGTATGCACGTGGCCTCAGGCCGAGAAACGTGGCGGCTGGGCTAGGCAGAGCCGCTGCAGCTTAGATAGTCGGATGAACCAGAGGCCGATTTAAATAATTACCACAACCCCCACCCCAGGTTCACGGTCTCCTGCTGCTGGGGGATCAAGATGTAGAACTGCCAGCTCCTTCGCCAGCACCATGTCTGTATGGCACCACGTTTCCTGCCATGATGATAATGGACTAAATCTCTGCAACTGTAAGCCAGTCCTAATTAAATGTTTTCCTCGATAAAATTGGCTGTGGTCCTGGTGTCTCTTCATAACAATAGAAAGCCTAACTGAGACACTGTTGCTTTAGTATTAAATAAGTCAACATTTGTCATGGGCCTGACATCAGCCCAAAGCACACTGTAATCGGCTGTGACTTGTGATGGTTAAGCTTAATAGATCAACTTTTAAGTACTGTAAAGTTCTTTTGAAAGTGAGGTCTGGGGCTGACAGTAACAACCCAGTTTTTGCCTATGAGTAATCCCTGAGAGCAATCACACCTGGGAGAGAGCAATCACACCTGAAAGCAAGCAGTCATACCTGGGTTCCATTGGGAGCTGATGGGAAGCTGTGGGGGAACACAGGGCTTTGAAGAGGATCACCTCTTCCTCCTGCAAGATCAAGGTGGAAGGCAGACACCCTGGGGTGCTCTTGACCACACATCTAACCTTGTTCCTGTTACCACCCCTCCACAATCAGCTGTTTCACCAAGAGGTAGTCTCTGTCCTCTCTTGTCCTTACTGTCCAGAGCTATTTTCCCTCTGGCCAGAACTCAAATGCCGCTTTTCTCAACTGCAAGAGATCATCCCGCCTTTCCTGGCCGGCACTCCCTAGGCTTTCCCTGTTATGAATTTCTTCTGGCACTTGGCAGGTCCCACCTGCATCCACTAAGTTCTAGAAAATATCCACGCTACCTCTCATGTGTGCACTGCACACCCCCCTCAGTGGGGCAGTGTGGGATAGAGGAGCCAAGGGTGGGGGTAGCAGGCCCCAAGCAAGAGTGGGGTCAAGGCATGTCCAAACCCTGGAAATCTCATCCTGAGATCAACAGGAGTAGGACCTTTGCCCCCATCCCCAGGAGGTCAAGTAGCCAGGCAGACAGGCTAAACTTGCTCTCCCCTTATAAGGTCAAGACCACCAGCACCTGAAATCCATTCTTATGCAAATGAGGCATCTCCAGCACCCTGGCCCCAGCCAATGATGTATACTCACCCCAATACCCCATACCCAACCCCAAAGGTTTAAATAACTTTGTTCTCCCCCCCCCATCACTCCCCCATCCCCATTAAAATGAGCTATCTCACCAAAAGCTCCTGAGAGTCTGTTCTCACCTTAGCTGCCAAGACCACTTGGCCCCAGGCCTGTCCAGCCTCATCCCCCCCCCATCCCTGAGGATCCACCTGTAGTGAATGACCAGGCAGTGAGTACTGGTGGGACACGTCAGAGAGGGAAACGAATCTTCATTTACTGGGAGAGGAGGATCCCAAGTTCAAAGCCAGTCTGGGCTAGTCAGCAAGCCCCTGCCAACTATAATACAGCAAATGTGTGTAAACTCTTTAGTCCATCCATCAGGCTTTTTTGAGTCTTCTCTGCAAACAATTGGCTATGAGAATAAAAATATATACACGAAGCAAGAATTATAAACTCTAGGGGCTGGGAGTGTAGCTCCCCATTTTGTTTTAGTAGAGCGTCTGGCTAGCCCTGTACAAAGCCCTGGATTTAATTCCCAACACTGCATAAACTGGGTATAATTCCACACACTTGTAATTCTAGAACTCAGGAGGTCGACGCAGGAGGATCAAGAGTTCAAGGTCATGCTGGCTATATAGCAAGTTCAAGGCCCTGTCTCAAAAGCAACAACCAAACCAACCAAAACAAAGTAAGGATGGATGGATAGATGGGTAGATAAGGAAGGAAGGAAGGAGGAAGGGAAGGAGGGAGGGAGGGAAGGAAGGAAGGCAGGCAAGCTGATGCTAATAGATTTATCAAAATAAAAATAGGAAGAGGTAGGCAAAGTCTACAGGATATAGAGAAGGGTGAACATCCGCAGCTATCCACACACACTCCATTGGTGTGCTTTTATCTTCATTTAGTTGAGAATGTCTTAGGCAGGATGCAGGGGCTGGCCCTAGGCCCCTTACACATTTGGAACAGATATCCAGCTTGGTCTTCATGTGGGTCCCCTGACAATTAGAGTGTGTGTGTGTGTGTGTGTGTGTGTGTGTGTGTGTGTAGGGGGTGTCTCTGACTCTGCTGTGTGTGTGTGTGTGTGTAGGGGGTGTCTCTGACGCTGCTGCCTGCTGTTGGATCCCCTTCTCCTGGACTGATTGGTCGGGCCTCAGTGGGGAGAGGAGATGCTTAGTCCTCCTTCGACTTGATGTCCCAGGGTAGAGTGGTACCCAAGGAGAACTTCCCTTTCTCTGAGGAGAAGGGGAGGGGGTCATAAGGGTGAGACTTGGAGGAGAGGAAGGGGGGTGCTTGATCAAGATGTAAAGTGAATAAAGTAATAAATTAAGAATTAAAACAGTGAAGACCGGTGCACAGGAGATGCACAGAGGAGTTAAGAGAAGACAGACTGAGCCCCAGGAATTGAGCTTTGCTAGGGGGAAGGCTACCTGTACTGAAGGCCCCTCCCTGAGCTATAAGGGAAACCCTGGGGGGGGGTCTCAAAGTCACTTTTACCTGGAAACTAGGGAAATTTTTGTTGAGCATGACCTGAGAAACCAGCCTTAAAACACAGGAAAGAATTCTGCCTTCCTACAGAACCAGAAAGCATGTGCCCGGGTGAATGGAAGGTCATGGAGGGTGGGCTGAGGTGCTGCTGCAGGTGGGGGCGGCTGCGGCAGAGGGGGCCGCCATGGCAGCTACTAGAGACTGAAGCATCAGGCCTGCTGAAGGAGCCTCGGCTCTGTTCACAAGGTCTTCTTCTCGGGGTTAGTCAAGTCGTCAAGTTGACTGAGATGACAAATCTATTGTTTTTCTAATCAAAACTGAGTTATAACTGAGGCAGAAAACAGGTAAGGGTTGACTGGAGCTGGGGAGTTAAGATTAACAATCAGAGCAAAAGCAGGGGGTGGGTGAGGGGGCCCTAAAACTGTGGCATGGGTAGAGGCTCGGCTTTAGGAAGGTTCCAGAAAGCACTAACTCATTTATATAGGTAGTTCTTATGATATGGAAAATATACCTTAAATAGGTTGTATATGTTGCTTGTTGTAAGAAGGAACTGGGCTAGAGGGATAGTTAGGAAAACAACAATCTGTTCTAGCAGACGATCCGATTTCAGTGCCCAGCACCCACAGGAGGCAACTCACAGCTACCTGTATGTATCTCCAGCTCCCTCCAGAAGGAGCCACTCCCTGGTCTCCTCAGGCACGCGCGCGTGTACACAAACACGCGCACCCATGCACACGCATGCACACATAGGATTAAAATAAACCTTAGATATAAAAATCAAAACAGAACTATAGAACTGTAACAGTGCCTCCGTCAGTGGCTTCACTGGGGAGTTGCCCTGTTCCTCCTGGTCCTCCGTGTGTATTGGCAGGAAGGCAACAAATCTGAAGCCTCTGCTGCATGTACACAAGCTAATGCACTAATAACCCCAACAAACCTCAGAGGAGCTGAGACACTCCTGGACAAGAACACTAACACAATGATAACATCTTTCTTGGAGATGTTAGGATCCAGGGATCTCCTGATAAGACCAACAGACCAACCTCCTCTGGTACTGACA